CCAGGGCAGTCCTGACTCTCCAGTGGAAGGCCAACTCCCTGGAGAAATCACACTAGAACCCACGTGAAGCACCCCTACACCCAGGGCACTGGGGTCCACATAGCGCCTTCTGAAGGACTCAGTTTTGGAAAGAGAACTGCAGAGAAAGTGCACGATGGAAAGTTTTCCGCAGGCCGGTTTACACCCTCCCAGGAGCAGAGCTTTGCAAACCTGTCCCTTTCTGGCTGGGAGCCATGCCGAAGGCCAGGCCTGCTTCCTCACTGGGAAGAAGGGGCACACTGGGCTCCCTCCTGAATACATGGGCCTGCGCTGAGTCACACTCCCCCGTGCAGGGAATTCTGGGAAATGCTGAAATCAAAAGGGGAGGGGGAGGGAGGAGTCCCCTTCTAGCTTCCAGGAGAGGAGCATTTATTCTCTGGGGTATGTGCGTCCATCCCTTTCTGTCTCTTTCAATTTCTGTCTTTTGGATCTAAAGCTTTTAATTTGCCCAGAGAACACACATCCCCGATCTCGACAGAGCCAGCATTACCCTAGACCTGGAATTCTAATTTGGGGAGGAATATGACCTGACAAGAAAAACCTTGCCACCGTCTCTCCCGTCCTTTGTTAAAATCCCAAGGCTGGCAGCTGAGAAAGACAGAAAGAAAATGCAGACTTCAAAACCCTCGGGATCCCGAGTTGTCTTATTTCTTCTCTGGGTTCAAAGACTTTTTCTCTCTCAGGTTGCTAACTGATTAAGTCCAGGTGCCAGCTTTTTTAAAATTAGTTTTTATTATTTTTATTATTGTTACAACACATGATTATGGTCAAATAAATGCAGGGTATCAGATGAAAAGTAAAAGTCCCATCTTTTTTTCCATCTCCTAATAAGATTCCCACTTCCCAGAGGTAATCATTGTTCATCATTTCTCCCAGAAATTATTTTCTGCATACAGAAGCATTTTTTTCATCAAACGCGATCCTGTTCCACATGCCCCACATCTTTTATTCATGCCATTCCTGTGACAGGCTCACCAGTGGCCTCGATTTGGATCCTGACTCCTCCCCTCACAGGCTGTGTGACTTCATTGCCTCATCCAGGAAATGGGATGCTAGTACCTCGTGTCTGTGACTGTGGACAGGATCAAAGGAGTTTGCGTGGATCTCAAAGGAGACCCAGTCCTCGCTCTGGTGTGGCTTACCTGCTGCTGGGCAGATAACAGGCAAAGACACAAAGGCAATTAGAGGTTGCAGTCGCTGCCATGACCAAAGGACAAAAGAATGGTGTGGGGGACCAGCAGTTAGCATAATGGCTATGTTGCTGGACTCCCACGTAGTCGACCACGGTTCATGTCCCGGACCCGGTGGCTTAAAATTCACGCCGGGCACGTGTGCGTGCGTGCCCAAGATCCCGAGAGGAGAGTGGAGGAGAAGGGATTGCGGCGTGACCATCCCCCCTGCGGGGTGATTTCTCACTTTCTGTCTCTGTCTCTGTCTGTCTGGCGAGTGCACATGCCCTATAGTAAAAACATCTCCAAAAAGGAAAGGATGGTGTGAAGAGGGAATGAGCAGTGTCAAGGTAGGGCCAGTGTGGAACCAGCAGTTGACATAATGCCTATGTCGTTGGACTCTCATGTAGTCGACCGTGGTTCGAGTCCCAGACCCGGTGACCTAAACTCATGCGGGGCGCGTGTATGTGCGTGCCCAAGATCCCTAGAGGAAAGTGGAGAAGAAGGGATTGTGGCATGACCATCCTCCCTGGGAGGTGATTTCTTGCTTTCTCTCTCTGTCTCTCTCTCTCTCTCTCTCTTGCGAATGCACGTGCCCTATAGCAAAAAACTCTCCAAAAATTAAAAAAAAAAATTTTTAAAATAAGGTAGGGCCAGTGTTATGCAGTGACTGCAGGCTCCATGTGTCTCAGTCCCCATCTGTCACAAGGGGATCATAGTCATAGTGGCTCCCTTGGAGAGCGCTGCATGGGATTAACAAGTTAGTATCCTGGAGCCCACAAGGTAGTGCCTGGTGCGTGGTAGGGGCTGCTTCTGTTAGCTGGATTCTTTCTCTCTTGGGAGTAATGATGCCCTAGATCACAGCCCTGGTTATTTTTGCTTTTGTTTTTTGGGGAGTTTTTTGTTTGGTTGTGTTTTTTTTGTTTGTTTTGTTTTGTTTTTGAGAGAGAGATTTTTGCCATAGTGCATGTGTGTTCTCCGGTAAGACAGAGAGATAGACAGCAAGAAATCACCTCCCAGGAGGGGATGGCTACACCACAGTCCTTTCTCCTCCATTCTCCTCTTGGGATTTTGGGCACACACGTACACATACCCAGTATGAGTTTTAAGCCACTGGGTCCTGAACTCGAACCACAGTTGACTATGTGGGAATTCAGCGACATAGCCATTACAACATCTGCTGGTCACACAGCCCTGGTTCTGGCTCAGAGTCTGAGCCAGAAGCAGAAGCAGAAGGAGGCCTGGTGGTTTAAGTCCGGAGACCTCGCTGAGCATAGCAGCCTACGCATAGCCCCAATGCCAGGCTAGCTGAAGCTGTCAGGACCCTATCAGGGGTGCTATGTCCCTCTGTCCTTCTGTGTCTCTCACTCATAGAATAAATGAATAAACCTAAAAAAAAAAAAAAAAA